CTTTCTTTCTTTCTTTCTTTCTTTCTTTCTTTCTTTCTTTCTTTCTTTCTTTCTTTCTTTCTTTCTTTCTTTTTTTTCTTTTCATTTTTTGGCCCTGGGCAACCCGGTCTAAGTCTTTCGTGGTCGAATAGATTCGCAAATATTCAAGAATGTCATTATGATATCAGTTTATTTTGAAACTCCTGCTTCCGTACGGTCTTTCTTTCATCAGCGGTTTTCGAGTTATATTTAATCCATCTTTTGAGTAATGTATTGAGAACAGAGACTTTCGATTCCTCGAAATTACCTTCCAAACAACAAACGAAGATTTTGCGTGATTTTCATACAGTTTGTTTGCCAAATGATTTCGGTTAAGGATTCCAACGCTGTTTGTCGCCAGTAATTTTACGCTATTCATCTCATTCAAAAGCAAGAATCTAATCAATAAAAATATTGATACTTCTGTGTCAACAAATCTGGCTTTGGTCAAAACATAATTAACAAAGGCAATTTATCTTGACGGCTGGAAAATTTAATCAAGTCAAGTGTGACTGATTGAATAAAACACGAAGAAAGGGAGTTGGTTGATTTATTTACTGACGGAGTCGAGATTTCTGTTTTCTAACTAGCGAGACCATCACTTTTTTTTCTTTTTTTCTTTATCTATTTATTTATTTTCAATACTACGCGATCTAATATTACATTTTCTTTAGCTCATCTGAGCAAAGGGAGTGCAATTTACATAACCGTTCTAGACGAATATGAAAAATATTTTAAAATAAGCTAGAGGCTAAGAAAACTATGTGCCAAATATTAAATACAAGCAAAATGGAAGAATAAGAAGCAAAAAAATATCGCGCCTTATTTTTCGTCTTCTGTTGAAGATATGTAGAAATACTATGCTTTCTACGCAGGACAACCATAGGGGAAATATATGAAACCTTTCATAACGGCCACTATACTTTAAATTATATTACTCAATAAAAAGGTTTTTCTAGACGTAACTCTTTGAAATTATAGGGCTTGATAACGTAGATAACATGTTTGAATTTTGAAAAATAGTCAAAAATCCCTGACAAAGATACACCAAGACCAGGCTATAAAGGCCTCAGGCAAAATATACATCTAAAATACCACTCCAGGGTGGACGGCTTGATGCCTAACAGGTTTGGCAACCCAATTGATAAAGCAGTCGATAGATCGATTAATTTAGAAGTTAATTTTTGTGGAGGGAGGAAAAACCGGAGGACCTGTAGGAAAAACTCTCGATAGACAGGAGAGAACCAAGAAACAGCCTTAATCACATACGACGTCGAGAACGGCAGCGCACGCCACCTGCGCTTTCCTGAAAAACATAGAAACGTCTTTAGTCACGCAGTCGCCAAACATAGTATTTTTGCTTGTATAATGAGCCAAAATAAAATCTATGCTAAAAAGAGCACAATTATTTTCCAAAAATAAAAACTACATTTTTCGAAAGAGCAGTATCCCAATAGCTATTGATCGTAATTTTATAAGATTTAGAGAGATGGCACATGATGAAACTCGCAGTTTTTGAGATGTACTCATTGTCACTCACGTCAAGCTTTGTCACTCAGTGGCCTTTGCTTTTTATTGTGCTAAAATGCTCTGAATTGTCCGATTTTTTTAAAAAATAATGTAAATTTGAGAAGAAGAGCTGTACTATGAGCAAAAAGTATTATAAGGCTATTTGGAAAGAGAGGTTTGCTACGCAGACCAAGCGAACGCAAGCAATTTTTAGCCATATCAGTTTTGATAGCGAGAATCGCCCCTGGAGCTCATATTTTCTTTTCCCTTTTTTCTCGAAAACAAAAAGGTATTTCTAAAAACTAACTACACACCGTTTCATTCTTCGTCATACACTACGTAAATCCAAAAGTAGAACAAATTCGAAAATTTGAGGCTCTGAATTATTTTGTCAGATGACAGTGGTTATCTATACTAGAGAGCTGTCAATCTTCGTAAGTGAAAAAAACGCCAGGGAGGAGGAGGGGGGTGCTTTGCTGTGTTTTCGCTTTTTTTTACTGTTCCCTCGTTGTTTTTTAGTACACCTTCCTAACCTCTCACTTCTTTAAACATTTTTTTACAATAAATGATTTTTCCCCAGATTTTCATATTTACTTTTATCGAAAATGGGATAAGCTGCAGACATTCTGATAAATAGTAGTCTGATATATAGGAATAAAACACAATGGAATGAAGATAACTAATTCAGTTGATTGAGAAGCTTCTAATTAATTTTCAACACGTATGTCCTGAATTGGTTTATTTATTTAGTCATTTACATATCTGTATTAATAGCGTAAGGAAACCATTGTAGCTATCCGTAGGGCACAGCTTTTGAAATTTATAATTGTTGATAAATAAATAAAATGGGATAGCTAACATAGATTGGATTGCGTATACAACTGCATTGACAATAAATGGTTTATATGTATGTACACACATGTATAATATGTGTGTGAGATGCTGTTTTTTAGTTTATATATGGATCTGTCACTGGCACTGGCACTGTCACCGTCACTGTCACTGTCACTG